GAGCCAGAGTAATTGTTGTGGTCGGACAGTATATTTTTGAGAGTAGAGGCAATAGTCATGCGTGTGAGTAATGGTATATGCCGGTAGAAGACGTAGTACTCTTTATAAAACAAAGTTGGCTGATTGAAGCTTGTTATTAGGTAGCAGTATGACAGTGCTTGCTGTATGGAGTGTGTGTTTAAAAAAAAATGTATGCGTAATATATTAATAATAATAATATATTAATTATTATTATTATTTTTCATTTCTTTTAATATCTGCCCATTATTGTAGTGTGGATGACATATGCTTTTGGAAGTAACCGATTGGAACTAATTATATCTAAAATTTAATATATAAGGGCTTTTATAATCAATACATGAGTCGTAGCAACGGGTCGTCGATTTTTCAAAATGTTCGGAGTTAAAATATTGAAAGCCTGGCAAAATAGATTATTTGCAAAGGGAAAAATTTGAATAGTTTAATATGTTAGTATGAATGAAAAAATAATATTTCATATAAATCAATGCTCTCAATATGATAATGTAATAAAAAAAATATTGAAATTTAGAGCACGTTTCCGCGTGTCTCTCAACGCAATTCAATTTCCGCTAAAATAATTTATGCGTAGGTTTTTTCATTCAATATTTTGGATATATTTCAATTAGATTTATGCTTATATTAAATTACATTTCAATGATATTAAATAAAGTTAATTTACACAAGCTTATTTTACTTAATTGCATCAAAATAAATAATGTGGTGGCAATGTCAAAGATTCTGATCTTTCGTTGTCAACACAATTGTACGGAGAGTGCAATTGTGGCAGACCACAATTGTATTTACCAACCACAGCATCTCTAGTCCAAAACGCATTGGCACGCGACATGATACGTGATATCATGTTCGCTTGACCAATCACAGTCGATCGCATCGTTTCTCTTGCCTTTTGTTTTACAATTTTACCAACTTGGAAATTTAATTAGTAGAGCAAAGCATTTTTCTTTGCAAGTAATTGCCTTCTAAGCGCATAATCGCTACTAATTCTTTTTTAAAAGTCTATACCAGTGGTGCTGACATTCTAAGTTCTTCGAAAATATATATTATATATAACAGCATCTCTAATCCAAGACGCATGGGCTTGCGACATGATACGTTGGGAAGGACATGGGCCCTTACCAATAAACAACTGTCAACGATTTTTCCACAACTGAGCGTTTTTATGGCAGTTTTTGCCGCGTACTACCACTATATGGAACCAGCCCACTGAAGTATTTCCGATCCAATTCGACTTAGAGTCCTTCAAAAGAGCGTACCAATTCTTAAAAGGCCGGCAATGCACTCTCGAGCCCTCTGGCATTAAGAGTATCCATGGGCGGCGGTATCACTAAACATCAGATAAGCCCGTTTGCCCCCTGTTCTATAAAAATAACAGCTCTGCGATTCTGTAACTCACTTTTCGAACTCACACAGCGGTTTTCGCAGCGGCGGTCGCGCTCAAATCAGTCGTGAAGCATTCATTTTATGCCTTGGCATTCTGATAAGGTCCCTCCTTGTAGTTTATTGTTTATCAGAATGCCAAGGCATAAAATGAATGCTTCACGACTGATTTGAGCGCGACCGCCGCTGCGAAAACCGCTGTGTGAGTTCGAAAAGTGAGTTACAGAATCGCAAGGCAGTATTAAAAAATGTTTGCACTGATAAACAAAGAGGATCGAAAAATTAAGTACCTTCGTAAACATTGTCATTTCTTGTTATCGTAAATATCTGTTGATAAACCGATCTCAGCGTTGAGAGGGGACTAAATAAATCTTAAAATTTAAACAACATCGGAACCTATTGACATATGAGATAGCGGAGGTTTATGATCAGAGGTGTTTTACTTTGATTAAGATAAATGAGATTGAAAATGTAATTAATGTAACAATTAAATTATGTAAGAGAATGTGAATTAAGTGTTTGTAATTTGCCTAGGAGCAGTGTTGGCCTAGTGGCTTCAGCGTGCGACTCTCATACCTGACGTCGTACGTTCGATCCCCGGCTGTGCACCAATGGACTTTCTTTCTATGTGCGCATTTAACATTTCCTCGAACGGTGAACGAAAACATCGTGAGGAAACCGACATTTCTTAGACCCAAAAAGTCGACGGAGTGCGTCAGGCACTGGAGGCTGATCACCTACTTGCCTATTAGATTTAAAGAAGGGTGCGTGTACTTATGTACGCGCGTAAGAAGTTATACTTCTTTGGCATTATTAAAAATAGTTTTTGATTGCATGCAAATAATTAATTACAATTAAATAATCAAAGACTGGAAAAGGAGTCATTAAAGTCAATAAAGTTCAGTTTACATTTGAAAAATTAATTAAATAAATATTTATTATTATTCTCTTACATTAAACAAATAAAACACTATTTATCTTTAAAACATTTTTATTTCATTATACTATTTATTTTTAAGTGACTCTAATGTCTTCATCAGAATTTCGGTTTGTAATTTTAAATTAATCATTACTTGGTTGTGCATCTACGAGGCTTCTCCAAAACTACTTGCTTTCTGCAACAAATAAGAGAATATTAATTTAAGCTCTGTCCATGCAAAACTTAAAAATTTTTATAATTCATATTATAAATTTTTTTAACACATTTATATTAATATAATTATATAAATGTGTTAATAATATAATTTGTAGCACATGCTACAGACCTGGATAGCAACTTTCTTTTATTCTATTTAGAGATAGAGATAATTTAAATATAATACCGGTGTCTTCCTTGTAGGTTTCTTGTTTGGGGATTCTTGTTGTTCAGTTCGACATGATTTTCTTTAACCTTTCTTTAATCCTACAAAATAATGAAATTGTTAAGTTATGTTGTCACTGTTGTGCACACCTTTGTTTGGCTTTTTTAGTATTCAAGTTATGTCAAAACTGATTTATTACCTTGTCATTGTTAGCTTTATTTGCTTTTGGGATATCAATTGTTTCCAAAATGATTTTATTTGTAATAACCTGAAATATATAAATAACATCTATTAATTTAAGTATCATGGTGAGTGGTTCGCACTCAGGTATTAAGGTGTATTATACCCACTGTCCATTATAAGTGGGAATGGGCTCACTTCTGGCAGGACAGAGTTTCGGTACTACAAGTGCAACATGGATGTTTTGAGGTATTACAATATCTCTAACTACCCTGTAGGGGAATAAAGTAATGTTGTAAGCATATGCCTATGCTTGAAAGGTTGAACCTTGAACATCACCATACATCATATTTATAATTAACATTCCTACCTCGACACCATCACAATCAAATTCATTGAAATCTACTTCAAACCATTGTGTCTCGAGAAGGTGATGGTGGCTTTGTTCCACCTCCAGTTTTTGATGTTTCACGGCGATAAGATGACAACTCTTTTTTTGTATTCAATTTAGTGCACTTCCACTGATTCATCAATTGTTTTTTGTCTCTTGTCCTTATATTTGCTAGATTAAATCTGATGTTTTGATTAAATAATGTGGTCATTTTTTTGAGATGCAGGTACTTATTAAAATGTTTACTTCTCTGTTATATCGCTCCAAGCCTTCATTTTCTCCTTATTAGTATTCGTGCTTAAATCTTTGTTCTCAATTATTGATATATAGGGTCGTAGAATATTTCTAAAAAGTTGCTGTAACAAACGCAATAAACAAAAGCAATGAATAATGGTTCATGTTTCAGTTTTAATCAACAATAATACTCGATAATACATACGGATAGTTAACCTCAATTGTATTGAAGCACTCAGGAAGGTTAGCACAGTTTTTTCACAAATATTTTATATTATTTCACAAATATTTTGTATAATGAAAATAACTAGGTATATAATTATTAATTTTAAACAATAATTAAAACTCCTATATTTGTTTAAAAGGTAAATGTCATTGTCAGATGTCAATTGTCATGGTCATTCAAAATTCTTGTTAAGCTGCTAAGCTAGAATATGCGTGAAGTTAGCTTCACGCATATTCTATTTCTTTACTTGTAGTTTGTCTTATTCCCATCTCGCTCGCGCACGCTATATCACACTGCCAATTTTGTGTCATAGGTGCGCGCGCAATCGTAAAATTTCACTCTCATCAATTTTTCATAACGCGCCTAAAGAAGTACAACTTCAAAAATGATCATGAATCAGATTCAGAATTCTGAGAACAAGACCCTAAAGAGGTTGTAGCGCCACTGATATTTTTTTATAAATCAGTAAGATTTAAAAAACAATGTATTGATGTTTAGTGTTTAGCTGAGTGACATTTAAATAAGAAATAGAATAGTTAGTAATATATGTTTTATTTACGCCTGTGTATTGAAGTATAAAAAAATAATTTCGTACACAGTTACATTCGGAATATTTGCATCATACGTGAAATCACAGAACTAACGAACGACCACTGTGAGCTAGTTCAGAGTACTAGCAAAACCTATTTTCTAACTGGATTTTTGGTTGGAAAATCCACCTATTTCACCCGTGACATTAAAATTAACCGTGTCGTTTTACAACATATCAAAATTCTTTTATTTGTACTAATAATAGGCAAAACTTGCCGCAGTCTTCGAAATACGGAGGGAATAAAAAAATTGTTGGATTTGCGTTCCCTAACTGTCATTATTTCTTATAAAATCTGATAAAAGCCATGAGGCTGATTGCAGATGGACTTAAAAGGAAAAAAAAGTACTAACAATAGAAATGCCCAAGTCATACTAAAATAAATTTCTTGCGGTACAGACTTATATCTTTATAGCATTATTTCCTTTGGAAAATGATATTCTAATATTTTTTGTAATAAATAGGGCAAATGTTTAGGATCTTTTTTGTGTTAGCCAAGGTTATTATATATTAGACGCTTCAAGTTAGTCACTGACGTAATTAATTGGACAAGTGTATTTGCAGATGAGACTGACATTTTGACATGATGAGATTGACATCATATGATAAATAATTCGATGGATAGATAGAATATTAAATACAGTCTTTTATAGGATCAGAATGCTGCCTCGCTGGGTTTTGTGGTGCTGCGTGGTATTGCTCGCGCGACCGGCGCACCCACAGGGAGCACAACAGTGTCCCGCGCCTAACGCAATCGCGCCTTGCACCTGCTCGGTCAAGAAGAATGGCCTTGATATCCTCTGCGAGTTCACGGAACAGCAGCACATCCAGAAGGTTAGTTATGACCTCAGAAACTTATTGCTATATCATACCTTATATTACGGATAGTTCCTGGCGAAAAAAATATTTAAAGAAAAAACTTTTTAACCGGATTAAAGTTATGTATTATTATAAATTTACAATTATTTAACATAATTTTAAATTTATCCGACGTTTCACTTATAATAATACATAACTTTAATCCGGTTAAAAAGTTTTTTCTTTAAATGTATAAAGGTAATGTCAATAAAAGAAAAAAATATTGTTACGGGTTGGCAACAGTACCCTTTCTAACTCTTACTTTGAATAGTTACAGTATTTCTTATTTCTTTGTATGTGGTCTACATAACACAACGCACTTGCGAGCCTTCTTGCAATGTGAGTGTCCAATCACTAAACATCAGATGAGCCTCCTGCCCGTTTGCCCCCTGTTATTTAAAAAAAACACGTGACAAAAATCTCCTTACGAAATTTTAATTTTAAAAATATAATTTCTATAATAAAAACGCTGCAGATCTTCGTGACGCTAATATTATTATTATTGCGTTTCATCCGTAAAAAAATTACCCTCATGAGCCTAAAGAAGTTTCACTTCAAAAAATAATAACACCAGAAATAATCATCAGTCAGGAAAGGCTTTAAATATATAGATTAATGTAATATGTAGAAATATGTGTCCCATGCCCTATAAAGGGCATTGTAATATTTGTAACGTTGTGTAAACATGCGTGTATACACTACAATATGGGGCATTTAATTATTAATTACATGCATTCAGTAAGCTTCACATGAATGTCGTAATAACAGTAATGGTTCAATGAAAACACTGTTTCAGGCAATGAATACGCTGCGCTCGAAGCCAATGATAATATTTTACCTGAAACTTCGTCATAACAATTTGGCAAAACTTCCCTCATACATATTCCTCGGATTGGACATACGACATTTGACTGTTCACAACAGTACCCTGGCTGTTATTGAAGATTCATCGCTTAGCTCTATTGGTAAGGCCAATTTCAGAAATTGTATGTTTTAAATTTGGAATACACGATTTGGCTAATTAACTTGTATCCGGGTCTAGTAAAAAATAATGCACAACCATTTTTGTTTTATACAAATTTTAAATTTGGAATTGTTAATTAAAAAGAAACATATTGCCAGTTTTATTGGTTTTATTAATTTATAGTAATATTGTAATTTTGTTTATATTTCTGTGCCTTAGAGCTATTTTATTCCTAGTATTCTCAGTAGGAATAGTAACAGTCATTTTAATAGTATTACAGTGGATATTAAACATTTCAGGAAACAAGTTAACTCAGTTGGACGTGTCTCAGAATAGATTGGCGACCATACCGACCTCGTCGTTCACTCATTTGAACCACCTATTGATTCTCAATATGAATCACAATAAGGTCTAGTATTTAACGATACATAGAATGTAATAACAAAACAATAAACTACTTAACGTACGCAAAAAAATATACATCTTGTATCTTAGGTTAAAAATAGAAGAATAAAATGTTGATAATTAACTTTTATTACTGAGTGTATATATATAGATAAAAAAAACCATTTAGGTCTACCCTCTTCTTTACCTTAATTATTGCCCTATCAGATTACAGATGATGAACACGAAATAGACGGTACCGCGAATTATGTATCTCAAACAATTTCCTCAACTCCTCACTAGAACAAAACATTTCTGTCAGGCTTCTAAGATTGAGTGAAGCCACCAAGGAGTTCCTATTTTCGAAGTTAATCTAGTTTATAGGTAGATTAAGTTTTGATATTGTTCAGTTTTAAAATAAACAAATGTTTATTTTAAAACTGAACAATATCAAAACTTTAATATTGCTGTCGCCACAAATTTGGCAGCATTAATCAATCAAAGGAAACACGGGATTTAAATAACGGAATTAACGGGAATTCATTACTTTTTTTTAAGCTGTAACTCAGCCTGATTCCCTTTGTATATTTTAAAACCAAGTCGGGTTAGTTACACCATGATGATGCTGAATATTCCGATTTCGATGATTTATTTTGTTGGATTCGTTTTTGCTTCGAATAGCAAAAATTCATTGAATCGAATTGAAGTGTATAGATAATTAAAGACAACAACTTGCTATTTGCTTCGATATTTTCTTATAAAGAATTATTTTACAGACATTTGCTTCGTAGTATTATTGCGCTCAAAAAACTTCACCAAATTGCATAATTTTTTTATCCGTTATTCTAAGTAAGGACTGTATGATAGAAAGAGATATTAAGATATAGTTTTCATCTCAAGAAGAATGTGAGAGATGTTTAATATACTGATAAAATAGATATAATCAATTTATTGAGGCTATATAAAATAACGCTATGACCAAAATTAATGCAGATGAAATTATAGTGCGCAATAAATATATTAAATTAATATACATGTCTAGTAATCACGTAAAACAAGAAAAGTATTATAATTAAATCCAATGTTATTTAACCAATATAAAATTAAATCTGAAAATCTGAAATAAATAAATAATTGCGTTAGGCATTTTTAAAATAGCTTTCATTGTTGTTCATCAAAGAAAGCAAAAAACCATTTTCAATGAGCGTATTTTCAGGTGACCGCGGTTCATAACAAAGCGTTTCTGGGCCTGGATACATTGGAAATTTTAACCCTCTACGAAAACAAGATATCTGTTGTTGACGGCGAAGCTTTTAAAGGATTAGAAAAGTGAGTAATTATTTATTCAAAAGTATCGAAATTGAGTTTCAATGTAATTTCAGGTTTTGTCATAATTATGTTTTAGACACGCAAGAAAGTGATCAGTAGTACTCTTCAAGGTTCATGTTTTTCGATAAATCTCAAAGATTATATTTAAAAATATGCGTAATTAATTTTATAACATACATATCTGTAGACAATATTTTTGTCAATAGTGTGATAATGTATGAATGTTTCTGTAAGGAAAATTTGTAAAATTGTAGCAGACTGAAACGGAAACTCATAACCAATATGAAAGCATTTTCGCATGACACGAAAAATCATATACACTTGTTTTTAAATGTCTTCAAGTATCTTAATTCGCTAGTCTGCCCTATGCCCTAATAAAGCGCGTTTTATTGTATGATATAAACACCTAGTTTTAAACCTGCGATAGGAATAATTTAAAGGGCTTTGTCAAGTTACATAAAGATTAAAGTTCAAAATAGCGCTTTAATTAATAAATTTGTGTGAAACGAGAACCGTAAATAACTTTTTTTGCTATGTTGACATCATGCTTACGTCATAATAAAATATATCAGTGGCGCTACAACTTTAGGTCTGGGCCTCAGATTTTCGTGATCATTTGTCAATCTTATAGGCAAGTAAGTGATCAGCCTCTTGTGCCTGACACACGACGTCGAATTTTTGGGTCTAAGGCAAGCCGGTTTCCCACGATGTTTTCCTTCACCGTTGGAGCGAATGTTAAATGCGCACATAGAAAGAAAGTCCATTGGTGCACAGTCGGGTATCGAACCTACGACCTCCGACCGACCGAGGAATGAGAGTCGCACGCTGAAGCCTTTAAGCTAACACTTCTCTCAATTATAAAATAAACAGTATATAGTTGTTGTAATTAAGTAACATGTAGTAAATAAGAAATATATTACTTCGCGTAACCGCTACGTTGGTTCTCTTGCCACACATACTATACTGTTAAGTCATAAAACACCTTAAACTCGGAACAAATAACGAGTTTAGTTTGCAGACAATTAAAATAAACCGTGTATGATAAACGATTCCCAGGAAACTAAAGCGTCTGAACTTGGGCGGAAATGAACTAACGGCGGTGCCGCAAAAAGCTCTCGCGTTACTGGAAAATTTGAAGAAACTCGAGATGCAGGAGAATCGTATTACATCTATTTCGGAGGGTGATTTCGCTGGTAATACTTTTGTTTATTCTTTGTGTTACTGTGGGACATGTGATTCGATTTATAAAGAATATATTTTTGAGTTGGTCGGTTGTTGACGTTAGGTACACTACCGAATATTTCTTTACAACAAATCTTTATTATATATATATTTTATATCTCTATATATATTTTTTATTATTATAATTATAATTTAACATTATAATAATAATAATTAAGCCTCATTTATTTCTTGAAAAAATTTACAAAACGTTACAAAATATTACACACACACATAGAATACGTATATATATATTTTTGTTTTTCCAAGGACCTCTTATTGAGTATAGGCCTTCTTCAATTGCCTTCATCTCTCTCTGTTTTGAGTATTTCTCTCCACTAACTTTCTTAAGCTCGTAGGCCCACCGTGCAAGAGGGCGACCACGCTTTCTTTTTCCTGGTGGCCCTTTTCACTTTGTTACCCTCTTTGTCCATCTGCCATTGTTCATTCGAGCGGTATGGCCCGCCCATTTCCACTTAAGTTTTTTGCAATAGGATAGTAGAATGAGTGTGATTTGTAAATAATTAATAGTTGACCCATGACGTTGACTCTTTTAAAAAAGTACTCTTATGTTTATTTCAGTCAAATTTTGTTTCTACTGCAATAAAAAGAGAGAGTGTTTGTAAGAGTGATTTTTTCAGTCATTACTAACAAAATAATCTTACTTGAAATAAAATTATTATTAAAAGTTGGTTTGGCTGGGTAGATAAGAAATCAGTGAATCAGTCGCAAAACTGTGAATTGAAAGATAAATTTAGATATTTGAATAAAAAGAAGTGTACTAAAAGCAATACTTAAATTAGTGTTTTAATGTGAGCAAAATCCTTACCAAAATTATCCCTAATAAGTAACTAGCAACAGATACGTGAAATAACATTTAATTAACTCGACAATTCAAGTTATTTTCAAAAGACATGAATTTTTTTTATACCATAGATGAAGTAAAACTAACGATGTATTTGAGGCATAATTTAAACATTGCGTGCTAAAATTGGCAATGTTGCCGTGTGCCAATTATATGCCGTGCCGTGGCTATCTCATTTACAATCAAAGTTAATTGTTAACTCAAAATATAATTAGCTGTTACGTTAGTTACTAAGGCAATTAAGCCCTTGGTAATAAAATTTATAAACCGTTGCGTAATTATATGACTCGTCCAATTTTGAAAGGTAAATAATGTCAAGGTATAATTACGGGAAATTATAAACAATTTATTGAAATGGGTAATTTATATAAAATACGAACTTTAATTAATTTGTGACTTAAGATTAAAGTTTTAAAAATGTCTTGATACAGTTTTGCTTTAATGAAAGCTTGAAGGTAGTGCAGTTGAAAATTACAATACTCTTAGACATTGTATTAGTTATATTAATTTATAATGTAAACGTTGTTGTTTTAGATGGCTCTATGGTCTAGTGGTTAGTAGACTGCGAATCCATGGGTCCCGGGTTCGATCCCCGGCTGAGACAAACATCGGTGTGATGAGCATTTGGTGTTGTGCTTAGGTCTTGGGTGTTTAAATATGTATTTATATGTCTATCTATCTATAATATGTATGTATATCCGTTGCCTAGTACCCATAACACAAGCTTCACCAGCTTATCATGGGACTAGGATTTGTCCAATAAGAAAAAAAAAATATATCTCAAAACAACTCTAGTAACATATTTTTTTATCCAGGTCTGAGGAGTCTAGATTCTCTAGGATTAGCCCACAATCAGTTACGAGAGGTTCCAGCCCAAGTGTTCTCACATCTCAACTTCCTGAACTCTTTGGAACTTGAAGGGAATCTGATTCAACGTATTGATGAAAAGGCCTTTGTTGGACTCGAAGGTGAGAGAAGTACACGTGATTCCAATCAAATTCCGGTGGTGAATCTAGAAGTTAAAGTTTAAAGTTATGAATTTCTTTAATTATTTAAAAGCAAAAACGTCATGTGGCTGTGTAATATTAAATGCACCAATAATTAAAAAAAACTCAAATTTAACCACAACAAACTCAGACAAATTCTTGGGAAATACGAAGAACGAAATACAAAAACAATGTTTGTCTTTGTAGTATAGCAAAGTGCCCGATTCGGATCACTTGTATACAGAAAAGCTCTCAATAAAAATGTTGTAATAAAGTGAGACCCTGTCCAGGCTCAATGGGGGTGGCATGACACCCCCCTTGGCGCTACGCATATTCAAAGAACTCCGTCGTAATTGAGTTTCCTCGTTAGATGTGATCAGGATTCCTTATTAGGAAGTTGCCAATTATTATCGAAGTTTTGAGTTAATTAATAATTAGTTTCGGTCGTACAGTAGAAAATATAACTTTATTGTCTTTTAAATCCGAGAGTTGATATAATTTTTAATGCGAACAATGTTCTCATGTATAGTATGAATTACTCATTCGCTTCTCTGATTTTACGTACCAAATCTTTGTTCACCGAAACTGTCGTATATATTTTTAACACTTCATTGCATTTGCAATATAGTACAATTGACATAATTAAGTGAAAAGGAGAGCAACTGGCGGCCTTATCGCTTTCGAGCGATCTCTTCCAGGCAACCACTGTGAGAAAAGAAAAAAAAAAGTATTAAATTACATAAGGTAGGCAAGAAGTGCAAAAATACATGTGTTACATATAGTTGTTGAGAAAAAGAAACTAAACAGGAACACAAAAACTAAACTAATAAAGGACACCTGAAAAAATATTAATACCTGATAATAAAAAGTGCACATGAATCATTATAATTGAATTTATGATCAGTCTCACGTCAGTTAGTGGGTATTATTATATTATATTATATAAGTTCAAGTTTCGGTCGATGTGATTATTTTATTACTAACCTTCTTTCTTAAAAAAAAAAGAAATATATATTCTTGTCTAGAAAACTTACAATACCTACGTCTCGGTGACAACCGCCTCCACGAGATCCCATCTGAAGCGCTTCGACCCTTGCACCGTCTCCGCCACTTGGACCTTCGCTCCAACAACATCACTTACATCAGTGAAGATGCATTCACTGGCTACGGTGACTCGATCACATTCCTCAACTTGCAGAAGAATATGTAAGTAACCTTATTTATATTGATAATTAATTATGAATTTGATTATTAATATGCAAAGAGAAAACAGCTGTTTAAATTGAGAAATTAATGAAATCGCAAGTTAAACACATAAATTTGTTTGGAAAATATCAACATTTTGTACAATAGGGGGTTTAATATACAGTTTATGAATAGTACTATTTCTTTTTTGTATTTTTAATATCTTTTGAAATTCCCATTTATAGACATACTTTTTAAATATTAAACTGTAGACGATGACTTTAACTTCAGGCTGAGTCATGTACTGTATAGAGTTAATAATCAAAGCAGGCTTAATCTATACGTATAGCAGGACTCACTCGCACGCAGGTATTGTATTCTACGGACTTCTACAGTCTACGCGTCCGTAGAGGAATTTATGCTATACTTGCTACGATATTTTGATCTCGTAGCAAGTCTGTAGTAGCCAAGGCACATCTAAATATTATTATTATGTATTTATTAATTAATAAATATTAATATATATTTCATAAAAAATTATCATTATTTATGATTCTCATTTTTATGACAGAAACATTTTTATTTAAAAATGTACGAACTTCAATATTTATAATGTAGTGAAGCTAACTCGAATTATTTATTCAAAACGAATGAAGCATTCACAATAATTTAGGTCGAGTGTCATTAATATTAATAAGCTATTCGTTTTGCTACATATACATATGAGTTTAAAGTTAAAATAATTTATATTCACTATTATTTTGTTAGAATAATATCCGTAAAAAAATTAAACAAAATAACTTTATTGGCTACATATTTGTCTTAAAAGTATATTAAAATATAGGTATTTGTTGGCGCCTGGTAGATAGGTGACCCTAGAGCTGGTGCTTTCCTCGCTCAACGAATAAGTATCGCAGTACAGCTAGGAAATGCTGCCAGCGTTAAAGATACACTGATATAGGGACCAAACTTTTTAAATTTGTTTTAATATTCTTTTAATAAATTTTTAATTATTTATATTTTATAAAGATTAAGAAAATTTTAAATACTGTATATTTCATTATTATGATTACTAATAAACATATATTTAAGAATTTGTTCTGTCATGGTTGTTGTTGTATGAGAGGCTATATAAAACACACAACTATCAACGAGAGCAGAGCATGAACGAAAAATGTATACTCAATTCTGAAATAAACCCGGGTGAACTTGCCAACCGTAGATCGATAGATTTGTACGGGATCTCGACACTCAAAGTAACCGGCGTTTTAAAGGCGACTTGCAAACTTTGATAGTACTAGTCAAGTTCGAAGGAGGTCAACTCAAAACTTGTCAGGTTTCAAATTTTTGTGTCAAAGTGATTTTAGTTGATCGGTAATTGGCCTACTTCGTATTAGTGCCCTATAACAGATACCAATAAACATCAGAATTAATTGTATAAACAAATCCAGATTTTTTTGGTAATTAAATAACCATTCACAGGCTGGAATAACGTTAGATTTTACTAGGTCATGGTACGAAATAGCAGGAAAAAAACTTTCGTTACGCTAAAATCCTTGCTGTAGTTAAATTACAATATAATACAATAAATGTAATGTTATATAATCTAACCTTAAATAATAAAGTTTCATTTGTCTTTAAGATTAAGAAACATGGCGAAAGAGATATTACTTAATGATACTTTTAACTTAACTTTTAATTAACCCAGTTCCTGTCTGGAAGATGAATTGTTTTCGCGGTTCACACAGTATTTATTCAAAATTGTAGCAGCTCAACACTTGCTACTATCTTCATGTTAATTATGTACTGAAATTATTACGCTAATTTACTAAAAGTTTATGATACATATTTAAAATTTACATTTTGTGCGAGATAATTAACTAATTAATTTTATTCATTTCATTCACTCTAAAATTATAGATGTAGGTAGGAATTCTTATCTATGGCGACGCTGGTTCTCGCCATAGACTAATTGAAAAATAGCTAATACTAACTACTAACACAATAAAACTGTTACTTATGGTGGTGGTTTCTAGTGAACCAGACAACAAATTAAATTTTATCTATGATAAAAATCTCAAGCAAGTATTAATTGAGACCAGGATAACGTCAGGGTAAGATTAATTTGAGGTGATTCACCGAGGAAGGCTTTTGTCTGTTGGGGCTACGTCGCAGCTTCGTTAATTGAGACGTATTATACAACAGTCGATAACGTTAAGTTTTAACCAAATTTAATCTCGAGAGGAAATCATCATTTAAGTGGATTATAAAGCACATATAGCTAATCTATTTTACACTTTTATCACTTCAATAAAATCTAATATATAAAATTCTCGTGTCACAGTTTTCGTTGCCATACTCCTCCGAAACGGCTTGACCGATTCTCATGAAATTTTGTGTGCTTATTGTGTATGTCTGAGAATCGGACAACATCTATTTTTCATCCCCCTAAATGTTAAGGGTAGTCCACCCCTAAATATTTATTTTGTATTTTTAGATATTTTTTTTTTGTTTTTATTTTTTTATGATACAACATTAAAAAATACATACAAACCCCTAACTTTCACCCCTCTACGATCAACCCCTATTTTTTTATTATAAATGTATATATGGCAAAACGACGTTTGCCCGGTCAGCTAGTTTCATATAATTTTTTTCATAAAATTAAGCTGCTTACTTATTTTTTCATTTTATACACGTTTATAGCAGCTGTGCTGTTTGTAAATATTTGGATTTTCTTCGTTGAAAAGCGCAATTGCTAACATGTTCGGAAAATTAATTACTCCCAACACTTTTCATAATTATTAATTACGTACGCTGAAAAGCGGTTAGCGTATAAGAATTATTTTTCTTTGTTCTATTTTGTGGAACATTCTAAGCGTATATTTTGAGCATTTTTGTGTCGGAGCACTTAATAAGAGTTGATTTGTCAGATGCCAAGATCTCATTTGTCATTATAAAATCTTTCAGAAATCTGGCTCAGTATTCGAGGGTCCAATTCATATTTCTCGTGTAATTCATCTTAATATACTCGTACAAAGTCAGCTTTGTTCGTCAGACGGCTGGATAAATTTCATGGTTTTTATTTTACTTTACATAAAGTGAGTTCATCTAATCATTAACACGACATTCTAAGCTAGTTATTTGTAAAATAATAATATTTAAAATAAGTTGTAACCGAGGAAGTTTCTCTGTTATGCCATCAAATATTTTTGGCGACCGTGACAGGAAATAAAGCAATCGCAAATGCAGTTCAGTGTTGAGTTAATCAAATTCAATTCGTATACACATTCAACTGTAAGTGATTTGATCCACTCGATTTTGCTTATTTTTGATTTGGTGGCGTTGGAACACCTGACAACAATGGATGGTTGAATCACAGATCGATGGGCGATGCTTTGTGCTGATGTAATTGACCACGTCTCAGTAGGCAAAGTTTATTTTGTGTATATTATTTTTGGTTTGGTTTTAAAAAAGAATTTAAAAAAATTAATGAAATTTAATTAAATCCTCGATTGACATGACATGTAACCGCTGGTCAATAAATACCTAATAATAAAACAGTCTGCCTTGGTTCTACCTAATTTATAGTTTTTGAAATAACCACACCAAAATGACATTAACACAATTATTTGTTAGGGATTTCAGAACGAAATAGAATCGAAAATCTTACGAAATTAAACTATGAAATTGATGGTAGCTATGGCAAATATACAATATAAAATCTAGTACTGTAAATAAATGTAGTCTGATTTAGACATCAAATTTTCTGTATTTTTTTAGTAGGGTAGGGCGGGGCTAATTGATTAATTTAACACTTGAGAGGATATAGCTCCTCAATGAGTTGTTATACGTTCCGATTAGTAATTTATCCCTTTACAAAAGTGTCAATATTTTTTTTTTTGTAACAAGTCAAATTTGACAGCTGTTTAAATGCAGAATGTCAAGTACGCCCCATGTACCTCAATAGATGAGATAAGTTGAGCAAGGGCCTCATAGGCAAGTTGAACACTAAGAATGTTCCATGAATTAACTTTGGGTTCAATGTTAACTGGAGATAAAGTAAAATATGTGTTTGACAATCAGCTCTTTATTTATAGTCGTTTAGTGACAGAACAACAAAACTTAAAGTAATTTTCTATGAATAATTAACCGAAACTAGAATCAACGAAACATGAACATCCATCTAGTGCTTGGATATAAGTTGCTCCAGTATAAATAGGTAACGCGACTGAATCTCTCGGCTGCATTTCCAGACTCCGGGGCGATCGTCAACATCCACGACTGTATTAATGTAAAGTGGGAACAAACCGTGATCCATGTGATATCAAATTATTTCAGTATTATTATTATTTTCTTATGTAGCCAAGTCCACATTTCAAGGATCGTCATGCTCGCTTAAATGTCATTGCTTGTGGCGGCGTCCATGCGTCGGGTTGTCTCTCTCCCTAAAATATGGCAAGGGGGCCGATGGCTGGCCATGCGTCATACTCGTGAACGGGTGCTACTTGTGGTGACTGGTCGTACTTGAATTCGTGTATGCGGTGATGTTAATTATTTCGACTATGTGTTTGCGTGTTGTTCCCACGAGAATGTAAGTGCGTGCTCCTATTTCACCATGCCTCCTGCTGATAGAGGACAAGTCTTTGTTTTTAATTTATGTTATTATTATTAATTACTTAAGATGTCATGTGGAACATGGTGTAATGGTTGCAGCTCCTTACAAACGTTGTGTAAAAAAAACATGGCGATTAAAAAGAGTGGCGGAGAGTTTATTGCCAGTTCTTCTCTTCCGTTCTACGCCCTTGATTTGAGAACTGGCAGTAAATGTAAAATTAGAAGCATTAATATGTATTTCTTTAATGACGAATCACAAGTGTACATTGTGTTACCTACGTGAATAAATGATTTTTGAAATTTTATCCATCCATTACTTCTACTAATTTCGAAAAAAGACATACTGCGTATTTAATGATGTTGCCCTACCAAGGCTGGTTCTGGTTTTCGTATAGCTCCGAATTTTAATAACATCGCACAAGGGACAAGGAGCTCTGATATTAAGTGATTAATATTATTAATTTATTAGCCATGCTATACTCGTTGTGTATAAGTCATGCATATCTACCCTATGATCTTATGCGAACATTAGTTATACCGGTTGTAAAAAACAAGACAGGAGATTTGGCGGATGGTTCAAACTACAGGCCTATATCGCTGGCGACTATTATGGCTAGGGTGTTGGACGGTTTGCTTAATACTCAGTTAAATAAATATCTACATTTGCACGATAACCAGTTTGGGTTTCGACCCAAGCTGTCTACAGATGGTGCTATACTGAGTCTTAAGCACACCGTTTCATACTATCTGCGTCGGAGGACGGCGGTATATGCCTGTTTCCTTGATCTTTCCAAGGCATTTGATTTGGTTTGCTACGATCTACTTTGGAAGAAGCTAGAGGATATAAGTGTTCCTCAAGAACTTCTGAACGTATTTAAGTTTTGGTATGGTAACCAAATCAATAATGTTAAATGGATGGGTGCCTTGTCTAAGCCCTATACGATGCAGTGTGGAGTAAGACAAGGTGGACTGAGCTCTCCATCTCTCTTTAATTTATATATAAACGCTTTGATTGAGACGCTTAGCAGCGAGCGTGTCGGCTGTCACGTGGACGGTGTGTGCGTTAACAATATCAGCTACGCAGACGATATGGTGCTGCTGAGTGCGTCGGTCTGCGGGGTTAGACGTCTCCTTAAGCTCTGTGAGGTATATGCGGCTAGTCATGGTTTGAAATATAATGTAAATAAAAGTGAAGTCATGGTCTTTGGGGCCGGTTGGAAGGGTGTGTCCAGTATACCCCCATGTCGCTATATGGGGTCCCTTTAAAAATTGTAAAAACATTTAAATATCTTGGACACATTTTGACACCCGACCTCAGGGACGATGCTGATATAGATAGGGAACGGAGAGCGTTGTGTGTCAGGGCGAACATGATCGCCCGCAGGTTTGCACGATGCTCAATTGATGTGAAAGTAACCTTGTTTAGAGCATTCTGCACATCATTCTATACGAGCGCCTTATGGTCGAAATATACTCGATTGTCATACAACGCTTTCCGTATCCAATATAATAATGCGTTCAGGGTGCTGTTGCGGCTGCCTCGATTCTGCAGCGCATCGGGGATGTTTGCTGAGGCGCGGGTGGATTGTTTTTACGCCACCATACGCAAGAGATGTGCATCCTTGGTGCGCAGGGTGAGAGCTAGCGGTAACGGTATCCTCCGCATTATCGCGGACCGAGTCGATTGCCCATACCTGAATCACTGTTCCTCTATTTCATGCGGAATGATTCCGGTATGAATTAATGTAAACATACTAACACTTAGATTTAAGGTATTAAGCTGTAATTTACTAACATTGTTATGGAACCTTGTTTTCTGAATTAAACAATTAAATTAAATTAAAAAATTAAAAAATTAAGTGATTCCCATGGACACACACTGCCAGAAGGCTCGCAGTTCGTTGCAGGCATTTTAGGAATTGGTACGCTTTTATCTTGAAGGACCTTAAGTCGAATTGGTTCGGAAATACTTCAGTGGGCAAATGGTTCCACATAATGGTTGTGCGCGCCAAAAAGTTTTTAAGTTTTAGCTTTCTTGTTTTGTTTATTTGTAATATTATGTTCTTAGTTTAAATATTGTATTAATACATTTTCTATTGTTATTAAGTTACTGCAAGAGTAGAAAATAAGAAAATAAATAAATAATAGGTGCTAGAACAGTTTTTTTAAGAACTTTATTTGTATTTAAGCAAAATAGGCTCGGTTATGTTCTTTAGAAGCTAGTAAGTCGTTGACCTTAGAATATAATTTACAAAAAAGGCCTAATTTGTATATTAACTTGGAATATTACTTACCGACTGAAAATTTCAAAATTTTAATTAGCTTTTAATACGTTTTGGCATATTTAACTCACAATAAAATATATATTTAAACAGGGTTCATCAACTGCCAACGATGGGTTTCGACAATCTTAATTCATTAGAGACGCTGAATCTGCAAAATAATAAGCTGCAACACATCCCCGAAGAGATCATGGAACCGATATTGGATACACTGCGAGTCGTTGATATTATGGGTAAGTAATAACATAAATGTAACTTTATTTAAGTAAATACTCATTTTTACTGGTTCTAGGAGTGAACGGTGAACTGAAAGCAAACTTCCTCCTGAAAAAATGTTATATTTTTTGTTTAAGTTTTGTGGTTGTGATGAAGATAAAGGAAATTTAAAAAACAAAAATCTGTTATTTCGTAGTTTTTTATATATTATTCTTATAAGGAGTGCTAAGATTAAACTGTTGTCTATAAAGAAATTATAACATTTAATCAGAATACCATCCTAAATAAGCTAAATAAATCTTTTTTTCCATTTTGAAGTTGCTTTTTTGAACGCTGTATAATTCTTTATTCAAAATTTAATTTTCATAAGTAAATGGAAAGTTTCAGCGCAATTCGTTTCCGCAATGAGTTGACAAAACGAAATAGAATGTTCGAAATTCAAAGAAAAGTTTCTTTGATTAAATTATTCAGTAGAATTTTAAAAATGGAAAATGCACGTAGTGGAAAATGAGTGTCGATACGAGAGCGTGGAATATTTTCGAAAGCATTTGTTCCATTCTCGTTGCGAACGATTTCAGCTGTAACTGGTTTTTTGTGTTAACATCCAATCCCTTTTATATTGATCGATCGATTTAATCAATACTACATATATATAATACTAGACATGTTTTAATGTCACTAGCTAAACGATTTCGTTCGCATGAAAACAGAAAGACGTAAAACATAAAGGCGTAATTAAACATTGAAGGGAAGTTATATGGTTTTCCGGATAGAGACACTCAAATCACCTAGATATTTGAAGTATACTTAGTTTATAGTTCGTAGAAGTGTATCTATAAACATCAAAAATCAAAATTTCATCACTTTGATGGCTGGAAGTCTTCCAAAGTCTGTTTCACAAGGCATTTTCTATGCGAACTAGCGAACTGTGGAATCGACTCCCGGTGGGGGTCTTCCCTGAGAGATACGACCTCCAACTATTAAAAGTAAGAGTGTACTCCTCCCTCAAAGGCCGGCAACGCACCCATGGCTGTCCATGGGCTGCGATGACTGCCCTTTTTGGGCGTCCCGTAGGCTTGTCTGTCCCCCTATTATATAAAAAAAAATCGTTACAAGTTTTTTTATAAGTGAGACTTTTTACTCGCGTAGACGGAAAAATTATTATGAATAAATATTATTCGCATATTTCCTTCGATTGATCATTTTCTTATATAATAATATCAAAATATAAGAAATCAATCGTTTTATATAGAATCTGTCAGGTTTATTCTGTCGCGTATATGTTATCACTAATTATTATATGCTTAAAATTTTACTTTACATTTTACTGTAATTGTGTTAGCCACTTGCGATCTGATCGCTTAGATCGTAGGTTCGAACCACAGCGGTGCACCAATTTACTTTCTGTAAAACTGGAAGTATGTTAAAGGAAAACATCGTAAGGAAACCGGCATGCTTTAGACCCAAAACGTCAACGGTTCAAAAGGTTTCTAAGCAAGAAATAATAAGTGATCACAAAACAGAAATCTTAAGCCCACACCTAAAAGGTTATAGCGCCACTGTTTTTGTATTATTTTACAGTAGTACCGGTCAAATAATTCGTTCACTGAAATCGTTTTAGTAAACATAACCTAATAAATTTATTGATTACAGATAACCCGCTAATTTGCGACTGCGATCTTGCATGGTACGAGGCCTGGCTGTCCGGTCTCAGAGACAGGGACGACGAAATGATGCAAAAGAAACGAACGGTCTGCACTATGGTTAACGAGCACCGAGAGTACAGCGTCGCTAAAATGCCCCTCGAGAAAATGAACTGCAAACGAAAACCAGGTTACGGGCCATCGAGCGCTTCGAACACTTGTCCCATCCTTGTAATCCACTTCATCGTTCTCGCTACTAGAGGACTCTAGTAAGTCAATTTATCCCTAATCTAACCCTTTCATTTAGGCGAAGTGCCAATTCGGCCTAGCTGTGGCCGGATAGACCGATGCGCGCACTTCGCAAAACGTGATGAATGTGTGCAATAAACATATACAATATACATATCAAATTTGGGCTGAATATTGTAGTATTTTGGAATGGCAACTTGTGATATGATGGCAAGTTTTTGCGAGTGATACATTTTTATTGCGTGTGGTATGCCTTATGTAGTGAACAACTAAGGAGGTAGGCTAAATCGGGGTTATGTGGAGATTTGTGATGCCATGAGCTAAACTGTCGCGTTTTTCGTCACATTAATTCCAAATATAAATCTTCTTGTATTTTTTATCATTTACCCCTTTATAAATTTATCGTAAGCTTTTGTGCATTTACCATGTTGACTATTACGATATCGTCTTAAATCTAAGTACCCTAGGGGCTCAAGGATCTTGACATACCCTCTTAGTCATAAAAACTAAACTCGTCTGATTACAATACAACTGAATGCGTCTTCTATTGACACAGTGTGAACACAATTTGAAAGACAAAAAAGAACATTTCATTGTTTTGTAATTGTACTATTTTTGTTTTTACAAATAAGAGGGTAGAAGTTTAAATAATATTTACCTTCAAATTGCGCTACCTCTTGTTTTTTCTTTATGTTTAAGAGCCCCCATGTTCTTGATGTAGCTTAGAATTAAATTTGTAGGTAAGTGTTAGATAATTCTGAGTAAATTATAATTATTGCTGTTGATAGTTTAAAATTCTGTAGCTTATAAAAGTTATACCACGCTAGTCTTGCGCCAAAGTTTCGGAAAATGTACAGCGTGAATTAATTTCCTTATTATGTTTTAGCTTTAAGACACTCAGTCATTGAGTTTTTAGGTTCCTGAATTTATTAGTTGCATAGTTATTTTTGTATTACTTCCTGTAAGCATAACCAACTAGATGATAGAATAGTAATAAATGTGACTGCAAACGTTGAAAGTTCAGTTATAAGAGCGCGGCCACACGATGCGGTAACGGTGCGGTGCGGCGCCGGAGCGGTGCCGCAACGTCATCCTACATACAAATTACTATACCATGTCACACGATGTTTTGTGCCGCCGTTCGGCGTCGCACCGCAAGCGCGCCGGACTTGGGACCTGCGGGACTAGGCTGGGAGCTGTAAAATATATTGCAACACCGCAACGCCCGTGTGGCACGCTATACCTCGAAGTAATTGCGGTTCAGCGCCGCACCGCACCGTCACCGCATCGTGTGGCCGCGCTCTAAAGACACTGATGTTTGCGGACGTTTGTCTAATTATTAAATCAAAATTTGAATAAAATTTCACGTGATAATCGTAACATATCCCCTAGTCTGATAAAAATTTATATGAATATTTCGATATACAAGTGTTGATTCGAGTAGAAAACATATAAACATATAACGTTTCCAGTATATTTCACAAAAACTCGAGCGAGTATTTCCAAATGAAAATTATACAAAATGTATGACGCCTGACAGACGCGAGATTGAATACCGAATTTGTATTCTTTTGACAGGCGTTTATACATATAGTAATTAAGATATATTTATTGAATTTTATTATATCGCACTTTTAAATCATAAGCACCAAGAGCGGAGTCAAAGTAACCTGATTAGATTAATCGATTCATGATTCGATTTTGCATGTTTACTCGTAATTCCAGTTTTTCGATATCTAAATGTCGTGTTTAATTGTATAAGGAGATGTCGACTATATACGTCAATTTAAATCGATCTCCTAATCTGACGCAAGTTAAAATACTAGATTACTCAAATATTATTTCAGATACCATGTATGTTTGAATTAGTAAGAGCAATCTTTGAAATGATTGCAAATTTAACAAGTTCGTAGGCGCACAATTTGACGTTATTGTCTGTGCACCGGTGTATTGTATTTTGAAATTACTCTTATTTGTAAATTAAATCAGTCTATCACACTGTTTACTCTTTAAAACAGTGTAATTAGAGTAATTTAGTTTTAAAGCAAAATTTTAAATTGCGCTAACTAAATTAAGTCATCAAATTCCTAAAGGACCTTAAATTTGCATATCAATTAGATGTAAGATTAATATATATTTTGTCGTCTATCGTATATTCACTGTTAATCATTGTTGTGAGCGCTTAAATATATAAATGTGTGTTATGTGTGTGTTCCTTGAGCAATAAATTTTAAGATCCGAATACAAAACCCAGTATTCAAATATATATATATATTTTGTGAAGGGTTTATAGTCACATTTATTATGTTATAAATCTAATTCTTATATTTCGCTGCAAAAATATAAACTTTGATTTGAATAAAAATTTAAATATGGTAAATGGTGTTTTATTTTGTTTTCCTATATATGAAGTTGGGAGTGAAAATATTCATTTATATCAAGACGCAACTTGATTGAGTAAGGCATTATAAATTTGAATTTTTAAAAATAGTATTTACCTAGCCTGCAAAAATTAACTATGTCATCCAAAACAGGAAATTTAAAGTGTCTTTATAAAACATTTAAGCCAAAATTAAGGTGAGGTAGAGGACGGACCAATAACTTATTTTCAAGTGAATATTTGAATTAAATAATCAGTAGGTCCTGGCTGTTGTTGGTTGTACCTTTTATTGGTTTGGTCCCTGCGGCATCGTTCCTTTAACGCTGGCAGCATTTCCTTGCCGTACGATAATTGTTCGTTGAACGAGGAATGTACCAGCTTTGGGTCCATATTATATATCAACAAGAGAGTAGCACCGCAAAGCTAAAAAAAAATATTTTCCATTAATCTAACGACTAATCTAAGGTCAATGCAGTGAAACCTTTAACAAATTGGATCTAAAATCTTAGTAAACCTTTACAAACTGTTATAAGTACGTCTTAATGAACAACACTGAGTACAGCTCTTCAGAATGTAGGAAGGATATTGAAAACAAAAGATATAAAGATCTTTTGATTAAATTCGAGATTTATGATCAATCTTCAGAACACTAGAACTATTAAGTACGACGAAGCATCCCAAATACACAAACAACGAATACTGAGTCTTTTGTTGGACAGTATTATGTAATAATTATGTTTCCTAATATTACATAGCTTAACAGTTTATTTGCTTAAAAACTTCATAGTTGACATGTTTGCTATAGTCCATTTATCGAGGATTGAATGCGTGAGTTATGCAACCTAACATAAGTTAAGTTAATAATTAAAAGCGCAAACAGAATGTAAAAATCATCGCACACTTGAAGCCAATATGAGCCCTTAAGTTTTTAATACCACACTCATAAATTGTAATTAAACATTCTCGCTTCCGAAAACATAAGTGTCACATAGACTTACGAACTCTTCAATAAGTCAAGTTAGTTTTCTGTTAATCCAGCGTCAAAACCCTACTACGCCTAATGCTATCTTAGTTATATGCTCATATTTTAAACAATGAATGCCAATTACCCAGCTTCAAACAAAGTGTTTCATTTGTGGCACAGTATTTTTATATTCATCTTCATATAACCTATATATAGATATATACCATATTGATTTAAGATAATAATAATTAAATAACGAAGAAATTCATTCGGGCAATGAATTGAGTATTTACAATTCGTTTAAAAATGTCGTTTAACGCGAAGCGGGTGTAATTATTACTGTACTACATGTTTTGATGTGATTAAATTGTGCGACATATTTTTAACATTGTTTTCACGTTGTTTTATATTTTATGAATGTTATTGTTTTTATAATAATAATGGTGTTGGTTATGCGTCTCTTTAAAATACTTCGCGGATTAGTGATAAGCGCAACAATGGAACAATGAAAAAGAAACACCTACAGAGGGTAAAGTACAAGAAGTGCAAAAAAAAACTCAAAATAACATGTAACTATAACTAAAATAAAATAAAGTAAAATGTGAAGAAAAAATAATAATAATAATATGTATAACCAAAAATGTAAAAGCTAATCCAAGGGTTAATTATCAATAACATTGTGTCTTTAAGTGCCTATATACTTATATAATTTTGGTATTAAAAAAAAAATATTTAAAAAAAATATACCAGAAAACAATTGCAGCTTTCAAATACTCACTGTATGTTACAGGTACAAGGTAAATGCAGAAACTAATAGAAGCGCAGCAACACCGCGACGTTTGATTTATTGTTTCCGCTACGGGATCATTTTCCGCTTTTGTCGCTGGAACATAATTTTCTCTGAATGGAATTGTGTATATGCTAAATATACTTTGAAAATTTAAATTTCTATTTAACACATACTTTTACGTACAATCTTTTAGATTTAAAAAAAAGTGCGTGCGTACAGAGTACACATGTCAGAAGTGAAACTTCTTTGGCAAACTAATTTTTAAATCTTGTTCATATTTATACAAATCTAAAACTTTAGATTTCCGAGATTTAGAGGGAAAATGGGAGATATGTTAGGAATTTAATGAATTTAATTGTCATTAAAATATTATTTTTTAAATTTATTTCTTCGATCACAAAAAAACGTGGCATTTTAATTTACAATTCGTCATTTGAGATTTCAATAAATTATTTTGCATAAAATACTATTTACATTTCATAAATTCTCTTAAAGAAATTTTAATTTAAAAAATAGAATTTCTATAAGGTAATTCGCCCTTCTCACTCTCTCAATCGGTCTCAATCTCTCCCTTTACTTCGACAAAAACGCTGCACATCTTTGTGACGCTTCCGTAAAGATTTACCCTCATGCGCCTAAAGCAGATTCACTTCAATGAATATTAACACAGTCTATGTGCAGTGAAAGAAAACGTCGTGACGATTCCACTTATAAACATTTATTGATGTATCAGTAACCTACTTGTCTAAGAAAGCTTATTTATGAGACATAGGCAGAAATGAATTTGCCGCATGCCTTATTGGGGTTACCGAGTTATACGAAATTGAATAAGAGATTTAAGTACATAAATACATTTCATATGTATGAAGTATAAGTTCCGATTATTTCTTTGTGTGGTAAAGAAGAGGTTTATGTCATTGAACTAACAAAAATTTTAGTCATAAAGAAAATAATGTCTTACGATATGTGATATAATGAAAAACCCTAATAAATTCGAGTCAATAAATTGTTGTTGAATTCGACACTTGATTTATTGCTTCCACGGGATCAAGAGACACCGCATTAGCTTTATCGTCGAGATTTCTCCAGACAATGGGAACTTTATATATTTTCACAACACTCGCAATAAAACTGTACGCTTTGAAAAATTACTGGAATTGTAGGATGTCTGTATAAAATATATATCATCTATACAAACAACAAATAAATAGTAAAACAAAGAATGATTTTGTTGTTTAAAATAACACAGCAATTCTATTTGTATTATAAGTATTTTTACATAGTTAAACAGATAATTAATCTATATTATATATGTTAATTGTAATCGGAGGCAAATGGGCAGGAGGCTCATCTGATGTTAGGCTATGTTCAGATGGCAAAAACTTGACGCGCGTTTTCAAATCGCGCGACTAGACATTGTGGTATTTTCATACAACTGTTCACATGAGCGCGCGTTAACGCGCGTTGACGCGCGTCAACGCGGCGCTCAGAGAAAAAGTCTCTAGACGCAGGTGATCGCGCGTTGACGCGCGCTTTGATATTAATGTAATGTCCGTTTGCTGTTCAGATGAGCGCGCGTTTTCATCGCGATCGCATGTAATTTTGTTCATTTTCGTAATTATATTTTGTTCTCGCATTTAAAATGAGTGAAATTGAAGATATTGACATCGACTTACTAATCGATGAAGTAGAAAAAAAGGCCAGCAAGTTGGAATATAGCAAATTTGTATAAAAAATATAATATAATTTGTATTTTTTTTCAAAATTGGATGAACCCAATGTTTTCTTTATAATTAAATTTCTTTATAATATAACCACAAAATAATAGCCTCTTCCACGTCAATTTTCTACGTTCTACCGAACTAGACTAACGAGTACTCTCGCAACGCGCGTTCGCGCTCATCATCTGAACGCTCTTCAAATTTGATCGCGCGTTGACGCGCGTTAACGCGCGTTACATGTGAACATAGCCTTAAGTGATACCCATGGACGGAAGAAGGCTCGCGTGTGAAGTGCGTTGCCAGCCTCAAAAAAGTAACTAAAACAAATACAGATATTTGCAATAATAGATTTTGATAATTGGTTCAATACAGAATTATAAATACTGGTGCAATACGTAAATAAAAAAATTGGCACAGGATCGAAAAATCCGTATAACTTAGTGATTGCGAATAAAGACAAATGTATATACAAAATTATTCAACAATTAGTACCTAAAATTGTTAAAAAGATTTTCTTTGACTCATTCTTGACCTGTTTTAAACGCCTTTTATCTTTGTTCTATCTTGAGGTTACGTGTTCCCTCGGCGGCGAGCAATAAAATGAAACATGAACAGCTAGACATGCGATACTTTAAAATGTCTGCGACTAAATCAATGAATTAAATACAACAAAAAATTCAATTAATATTATGGTTCTCCTTCTGATACGTTCTTTGTCAGTTGAAATGAGGTTCTCATTAAGCTATAAAAAAAAACTACTTAGTATTCAAAACCAACTTTTAAAACGCCGAAAAAATAAAAACAATGGAAAAATGGTTGCCCCTTTACTGGCAGTCTTTATCACATAAAGCCATGAGAGCCTCTCATTTAACATGGAACATGGTGTAATGGTTGCAGCTCCGTCAGCAGTCAAAAACTTGCCGATTGAAAATAGTGGCGGAGAGTATTGCCAGTTCTTTTCATCCGTTCTAGGCCCTTGATTTGAGAACAGGCAGTAAGAGTAAAATTATAAGCATTTAATATGTATTTCTTTACTTATGTTTATAAGTGAACATTGAACCTAAATGAATAAATAATTTTGAATTTGAATTTGTGTCAGTATAAAAATCTCTGACCACGACTCACAAGCACTCGAAACCAGATTAAATAATTTATTCGCGGTTATATTAAAGAAATTGTATGTATTCCCGTTAATACATACCATTAACGGACGTGACGACTCATTGGTCTAGTGGTTAGTACCCCTGACTGCGAGTACATGTATTTCGATCCCCGGCTGAGACGAACATCGATGTGATGAGCAGTGTTTAAATATGTATTTATATGTTTATCTATCTATAATATGTATGTATATCCGTTGCCTAGTACCCATAACACAAGCTTTACCAGCTTAACATGGGACTAGGTTAATTGGTGTGAATTGTCTTAAAAAAAAGTATATAAAATATTGTATATTCCGTAATATACAATATTATAAAAAATTATTTCAAATAGCGTAATATAAACCCAAATCTAGACCATTGTGTTTACGTAAATAACACAAGTTAGCACATTTACATGAAGCAAATGCATTTTGATATTACAAGAGCATTCATTGAAATTCAAATGTGAAGTTCCCTTAAATGTAAATATGGCTCTTCTATTTACTTAAAATTTTGATGCTGGTATTGTTTTACTGTTTACTTGTTGTTATGTATATTCAAACATTTATACAAATACACGTATATAACATTTATACATATATATATATAATGGTTTTCTCTTTTAAACTTACACATTCCTTCACTGTACATTTGCAAACACTACGAGTGTTCAAATAATCCTTTACATTACAATGAAATTCCTTCAATTCTGCGCTCTTTAATCGAGTAAATGTAAATTCAGAACCTGCAAAAATGAACAATAAAAATTGTATGTATTTAATAAGGTTATAATTAATTATTGAGCGACCGTCCAAAAGAGAAAAAATCCAAACAAGAAATGTATAAGAATAACTCTTACCTAAAAGAAAATTAAGTTTCCATTATTTGCCTATCCAAAAGAAACCTTTTACGTTTAGTGGTTTTGACTAAGTTAGATGACGACATGTAAGGCTGTGTGTCTAGATGAGCCTGTAAACTTCCTTAAAAGCAAAATTTTCACTAACGATTTAAAACTTTATACATTCAATAACAATCTTAAACAACATGTTATCAACCCTATGCTCAAACGGAAAATATTCTTATTGTGCAGCAATAGTTTAATTAGCTCTTCCCTGCCACGCTTCGATGTGGCACATTGTGATTGTATGGTTGAGAAATGAGAAGCAAAACAAAGAAAACATTTCATATAAGTTTAATTTTGCAATACTTGTGGAAAAAAATATTGAAAAAATTAAAAAGATAGATAAAAACAATCCTTGATGCGGATTATATATCGCGCTAAAATTTCAGCTCGATTGGTCCAGATCTTTTTGAGTTTTTGAAGCGTACACAAACCAACATAACATTTTTATATATATTATATAGATAAGTGTTATGTAGAAATAATTATGTCAATAAAAATAAAAAAATATGTTTATTATGGAACATAAGATACATGTATCACTTATTCCACGTTTTTTTAAATTTGATTTTGTAGGCATCCCTACTCATCGGCAAAGAAGACAGAGGGTGTAGGCCGAGAGAAAAAGCCGGCGTAAAAAACTCTCGGTACTCTTTTAAAATAGCAAATCATCAAACAACACTTATTTTAAAACAAATATCGCAAATTAATTAGAAGTTGCCTGTCTAGCACTAGTCCCAGGCCCTTTTATCAACTAGATAATCGTCAACTTTATAGTAAGCCTTTTTACACAGCTTTTCTTTAATACATTTCTTAAATTTATTAAAAGGCAGAGATAAAAGAGCCTCTGGGATTTTATTACAGAAGAGTATCCCTTTTCCCAAAAAAGAATTACTAACTTTAAATAGTCTAGTACGGGGAAATTGCAGCCTGCGTTTGTTCCGAGTATTAACATTGTTACCAATTACCGTTAACGTGTCAAATGGACTAGCTGCCCACAACACAAGGAATCTTAGTGTGATCCTAAATATCCTTTTTACTATGTATAACAAAGTTTATTTTTTCTTCTTTCTTTAGTGCTTATAAGTATATAAGCAGCTCTATTAATTTTGGTTATTTTTCCAGAGATCCAAAACGTGTAGTTATCCTTATAATTATAATCAAGGCTTTGTATTTAATAACAGGCAATCATTCATTCTTGCCCATGAAATAACGACGTATCGAAATATTTGTTCCTCTTGAAACACCATTAAGCTTGATAGATGGCTATTATCGCGCTTATCAAACATGGATTATTCGTAATATTGACATTTATCGTTATTGCGAGTTAGTGGTTGGAAGTGCAAAGTTTTGATATGACCGAGAAATATAAGGAGACTATATTCACGGCTTTGGGGTGAGATGGATCTTTTATAATGGTTTAGGGTATTACTCAGAGGTTTTGAGTTCGATTGTAGGGGAAATTAATGTTTTTGGAAGGCGGATATGAACTCTACGAAAATTATTACTGAAAAAGACGCCTTGTGTTTGTCCAATATTTGGGGTATATGAGCTTATAAAAAAAGGGTGCATGAACTTATGTACGCGCGTAAGAAGTTATACTTCTTTGGCATTAATAGTTTTTGATTGCATGCAAATAATTAATTACAATTAAATAATCAAAGACTCGAAAAGGAGTCATTATAGTCAATAAAGTTCAGTTTACATTTAAAAAAAAGGGTCCGTGTACTTATGTACGCGCGTAAGAAGTTATACTTCTTTGGCAATATTAAAAATAGTTTGGCTTTGTTCCACCTCCAGTTTTTGATGTTTCACAGCGCTAAGATGAAAACTCTTTTTTTGTATTCAATTTAGTGCAGTTACACTGATTCATCAATTGTTTTTTGTCTCTTTTCCTTATATTTGCTAGATAAAATCAGAAAAATTACATGTTTTGATTAAACAATGTGGTTAATTTTTTAATCAAAACATTACTCGATAATAATAATAATACATACGGATAGTTAACCTCAATTGTATTGAAGCACTTAGGAAGGTTGATGAGCACAGTTTTTTCACAAATATTAATTAGTATTGGTTTAAATATTCAATTTAAATCACTTCTGATTATAATTCAAAAAGAATCGCTAAATTTCTTTGAAAAAATAATTAAAACTCCTTTATTTGTTTAAAAGGTAAATGACAAATGTCATTATGGTCATTCAAAATTGTTGGCATACGAACTTCACGCATATTCTATTTCTTTTTACTTGTAGATTGTCTTATTCCTATCTCGCTCGCGCACGCTATAATCACACTCCTAATTTTGTGTCACGGGTGCGCGCGCATTGTAAAATTTCACTCTCATAAATTTTTCATAACGCGCCTAAAGAAGTATAACTTCAAAAATTAAATAAATAAATATTTATTATTATTCTCTTACATTTAGTGAAACATAAATTCTATTATTATTCGAATGTTGTTTTTAAATTATGTCCAATGCCGTAGCATCTTGCATGGGCAACTTCGTTCTGTTAATTTTGTGTCACTGTGCGCGCGCATCGTAAAATTTCACTCTCATCAATTTTTCATAACGCGCCTAAAGAAGTCTTCAAAAATTGAATCATGCTTTCATCTAAAACGTTGAACAAATTATAATATTACTAAGATTTATATTACTATATATTTGCTTACATATATCAGTTTATGTTAATTCAATCAAGTAAAAAGCATCAATTCCGTGTACAAAAAAGTTACGCCTGCCAGTAATAGCGCTCTAAAACATATTATATTGTCTCTCCAGAAATCCATCATGCAGCAAAGGATGGCTTCGATGGATTGTCCAATTATTTTTCGGAATTATCATTGTGTCCAGTTTTACATTGATTCTGCTAATGTCTTTAAAGACAAGGCCTTCGAAGCATGAACAACTTACAAGATGCAGAATTCATAACTGTAGAGTGGTTTGTTTTGAAACACCATATTATGAGAAATATGAGAATGATATTGTCGAAGCGGCGTGGGTGAGTAGACGTTATATAACGGTTACTATGGTAACAGACACTGTACTGTTAATATCATCTATACCGTGTACCGGTATTACCTACACATATACACACCATCTACCCACTGAAGTATTTCCGAACCAATTCGACTTAGGGTCCTTCATGAAAAGAGTGTGTCAATTCTTGAAAGGCCGGCAACGCACTTACCAGTATCACTTGTCATCAGGTGTGCCTCCTGCACATTTGCCTTCTGTTACATAAAAAATATTGTAGAGGAAAGATTTGATGGTTTGTTTGCATTGAAGCTCAAACTCAAACTCAAACTCAAAATATCTTTATTCAAGTGGGTAACCAAGTACACTTTTGAATCGTCAAGTTAAATTAATCGTAAATTTACATTTACTACCAGTTCGCAAGTCAAGGGCGTAGAGCGGGTAAGAAGAACTGGCAAGAAACTTTCCGCCACTCTTTTTAATCGCCAAGTATTGTCATACAAATTGTTTGAACTGGAGCAATTCAATCCCAAGGATTAGGATCATTTAAGTAGTCCTCAAATTTATAAAAAGCTTTGTTGATTAATTTTCGTTTAACGAGGGCTTTGAATTTATTTAGTGATAATACTCTAATTTCGCTTGGGAGTTTGTTGTAAAAACGAATACAATTTCCATATAAGGAGTGGTTTATCTTTTGGAGCCTGGTTGGTCTTACACTCAAATTAGTTCTATTTCGCGTATTATACTGGTGAAAGTCACCATTTGTTTTAAAATCGTTTATATTTTTTTGGACATACAACAAGGCTTCAAGAATATATTGACCAGATAGTGTCATAATATTTAATTCCTTAAACTTATTCCGTACCGACTCCCTCGGAGAAACACAACAAATACCCCGAACAGCCCGCTTCTGCAGCACAAATATGGATTGAACCTCTGCAGCAGCACCCCACAGTAGCTCCTTAAAAAAGTTACGGATCCATATGAAAACTTCGATAATGTAACCCAAGATGAGAAAAAATCACCAATAAAAATCCGTGTATCGTACGTTGTTTTTAAAAGCAATCAATATGTATAAGTCCATGATATCTAACAATTACAGTTCAATTAAAATATGCAATTGTAAGTCCGATACAAATAATGTTATTCTTACCTTGTTATTAATCCTCATTTTAAGGCAATATCTGTAAATTTATTTTTGAATTTATTAATTCTGGCATATGGTTCAAAAGTTATGAGTGTAATAATTTTTGTTAAATATCTTCCCATACCTCTAGTTTCCATATAAAAAGAATGGCAAACGCTAACAAATGCGCTAGTAACGTTAATCCACGTTTTATAATCATGTAGTTTAGAGCGTTTATAACGTATTATTCTTATAGAAAAAATTAAAATGTCTCTGAAGTTTAATTAACACTTATGTCAAGCGGTTGTTCATTAAGCGTCCAATCCTTAGCGGGGAAAAATCACTGTGGTCCATTAAATATATCATAATATACCTTATACGAGTATGCTCAGAAGCTAATTTGTTCGAAATGTAATACAGTATTTTTTATTTGTAGTATTCGATTGGGTTGTGAGCAGTGTGGGCCTAGTGGCTTCAGCGTGCGACTCTCATACCTGAGGTTGTAGGTTCGAGCCCCGGCTGTGCACCAATGGACTTTCTTTCTATGTGCGCATTTAACATTTACTCGAACGGTGAAGGAAAACATCGTGAGGAAACCGACATGCCTTAGACCCAAAAAGTCGACGGCCGCGGCGTTTGTCAGGCACTGGAGGCTGATCACCTACTTGCCAATTAGATATAAAAAATGGTCATGAAAACGATTCAGAAATCTGATGCCAACACCTAAAGAGGTTGTAGCGCCACTGATTTATTTTTTATTCGATTGTGTTCATTTCAGTTTAACAAATTCATAAATCTTGCTTAGAAAACTAGCAAACAGATTAAGTTGAATTTGATACAAAATTAAAACTATGTACAGATAAGTTATATCATTCTTTGTTTCAGCAAACTAACGCTATCTGCCCAACAATAGTACTAACCTTACAACGCCCACACTTTCCAAATGGCACACTGCCCCAGAATTGGTTGTCTAAAATACGCTCACATGTAAATGAATTAGCGATTATTGACGGCAATCTAAATCATATACCACACCGTGCTTTTAATACGCACTTCTCTAGTAAATTGGATACATTAATATTGGAAAAGGTCGGGTTATCGAGCTGGGAGCCCGAAACTTTCATGGGTTTGACAGGCCTCAAACAGCTGTACATCAAAGATTGCGTTTTCAAAAATGTAACAAGAAACGCATTGCAAGCTGTTGACGACACTTTAGAATTCTTGGATATAAAAGCGGGCTTTGAGTGGAATCCAAGAAACATTACTGGATCGGCGGACCTTAAAGCAATAAGCGTTGTGGATTTTTCATTAAACCCATTTTACAGTATTCTGGACAAATTCAGCTTTTCACAGATACGAATGTGCAAGATACTTCATTTAAATTCTTGTCGTATAAGCTATCTTGGACTGGGAACTTTTGATCCTTTGGATTACATAGAGAAGATATATTTAAATGACAACTATTTGGTCGCTGTTTCTGATGGATTGTTCAGAAAAATTATCCTGCGAACACCAAGAATAGCTTTACACGATAATTTGTGGTATTGCAATTGTTCTTTCACTGATATAAGACAGTTGTCATCTAGTGGTCTTATAATTGTGGACCCAATATGTCGTCACCCTGAACATTTAAGAGGTCATACATTTTCAGATTTTAACCATTATTGTAAAAGAAATGAAAAGCCCCAACCAGATTTAGAACTGGGTGAGGGCAATGAAGTTAACGATCATGAATCGAATAACGAAACACATACATTTCATATAAATGGCGTTTGCTACAACTCAACATGTCAAGTATTTAGAGTTGATTCTGATGTATATAATAATGGTTGTCGTTTAAATAGATTAAAAATAGATGAAATGACAAGAGCTGATGGTTCAAATTTATGGCCTGAAGCTCAAGACAGTGACTGGTTAAGTTTGACATTTTCTGTCCGCAGCAATCAACTGTCGATCGTAGAGTTGTTACCAAAGAACCTGACCACAGAACACGGACTACTTTGGTTTGAATCGAGTTGTCCAGAAGATGTGTATTGCATAAACTCAATTCCGGATGTTTTAAAAATATTCGATCAACGTTATGGTGTGCAATACACGTTCTGTCTCTTTGATTTGCGTTCTTCAATTATAAAGTCAAGGCAGTGTATTTCCTATAAGTTTCCTTTATCAAGTGATGTGAAAGAGTATTCAGAGAGTAAATTCATGATTATTGGATTTACGATTCTGTCGATTATATGCCTGATCTGTGGCGCTATCTGCGTTTACGCGTTGATTCAACGCAACCCAAATCTGTTGAAAGGAAATAAACGAATTGTGTTTGTAAAGCATAAAGAAATCAATGCATTAATACTGCCTCCTAAAGTACCCTTACGAAGCTTTGATCACTCAAACGATGATAATTTAGGGAAGAAAATCTTTTTTGTGACAACTCATCAACAAAGTGTTTCGAATTTAGAAAGATCCGAGTCATTCAGTCCTAGTAGCAATGAAGTGAGTTATATATCAGCGTTACAACCGACCCAGGAGCAATTAACGCAATGGCGAAAGAAACAATCTTTAAAATCACCGTATAAATCTCCTACAGACTTCAATTTTTCTAACATTTTCAATAATGATTCGCTGCCATATTACTCGCTAAACGAAAAAATCTACGACACGCCATACGACCCGGTTAGAAATTAAATGGCACGGAAACAATAATTGTTCATGAGCTAAATGTATTCATAAATCACTTGTCTACAGATCACCGTTCAGAGCTATCATTAATCATGGTATTAAGAGATACGAGAAATAGTTTACCCGGGTCTCATTAAAGACGTTTGGCTACTACGGTGTTCATAGTGAATCGATTCGTACAGTTGTTTCTGACACATAGTATATTGTCTGAGAAATGTATCTATTTTAATGGCTGTATCAAAAGCAACTGTAGCTCTGAAGCGTTTGAGTATCGGTCTATTAGATCTCTTGGCACATTGACGTTTCTATTTCGTGTATATTGAAATTACAAATTAAGAATTGTATTGTGTTTTATTAATTTATTAAATTATTTTAAAAATATAGTTTTTTGTCTTTCAGTATTTTAAAATAGAAAATTTTATGAATTTAATTAAAAATGTCTTTGCTTAATGCGTAATTAATTATTTTAAATTTCTTTGATATTCTTAAAGTTTTACTACTTTTAAATAGTATAATACTGGTTTAGTGGTTTACTTACAGTTGTAGCTAAAATTTTCAAGCAGTTTTTGCCGCGCACCACCACTTTGTGGAACCAGCCCACTGAAGTACTTCCGAACCAATTCAACTTAGGGTCCTTCAAGAAAAGAGCGTACCAATTCTTAAAAGGCCGGCAACGCACTCACGAGCCCTCTGGCATTGAAGTGTCCATGGCGGTATCACTTAACATCAGGTGAGCCTCCTGCCCGTTTGCCCCCTGTTCTATAAAAAAATATATGTTTTAGAGCTTGCGAGATATACGGGACAAAGACGTACTAGGAACTAGGAAGCGACGTAAATTTAATAAGCGAATCCAATTTCAATATTGGGTTTCGTATCTCGAATCAAAATATAATTTATTCATATCGGTACCATTATATTCACCGATTTTAACTGATTATTGACGCCGAATGCATTGCTTCTAAATTTAAATTTACTACCTGCTACTGAATCAAGGGCGTAGTACTAAACTTATTAATTTATTTATAAGTTCTAAAACAACGTGAATAAGCATACACTTTGTTTTAAATTTATACAAGAAAACATGACATCACAAATTTTCACATACAGTTATATTAGAACCTACAACGAAAGAGAAGAACTGACAAGAAACTTACCGCAACTCTTAAATAGTCAACTTTGAATGGCAGCTTGCACGGTAATTGATCTTAACTGTAATTTATTTATATGATATTACACGAGATTCCTAACCCATTTCAAAATAATTGCAATGATTAACATTTCCTATTATGGTTGGTAAGATGGCAAAATTTACGAAATACAAAACTATCTTTATGTACTTAATTATATTATAAAGTTTGTGTAGTTGAATTTGCTAATCTCACTATTATCAAATTAAAAACTACTACTACTACTACTACTGATAGTACATTGAAGATAGTATGTTGTTATAAAACGAAACTCGTTTTGGGTGCCTTCAAAGCTTGGCTTGTTTTTAAGAGGTTTCTTTTTGAATATAGTTAAATTTATAGTTTCTTAATTACGGTAGTAGTCATCTCAGAAATGATTCAGTAGGGCTGTAATAACAGAATTTTAGGTTTATATTGTAAAATCATAAATCATATAGAAACTAAATAAAAAATCATATAACCAGTAGAAATTCTAGTGTTTCCTCCAACTTCGTTTTGTGCTCTTTGGAGTAGAAACTGCTTACTTACAATTCTATAAAGATTTAAATAACGTGGTAACAGTACCAACAACCACTGAACTGTAGCTTCTCATGCACAGTTTTTACAGAATTTTTAATCAGCTTAGGTCCAGATATTGTTTTTAATTACTCTTATATTATATTAAAGTTTTTTTGGCTAGATCTGTGCCAGTGCCACACCCACACAGTGTATAATAGGGCGTAATTCATATTACTGTTGCTTTACTACAGAACACCAATATATAGAAATTCAAATTTCGAATATAGAAGAAAAATCGAATTAGCTGTCGCATGTTTTAAATTTACTATCTACGTAACTACGTACGTTATGTAACACCTGTACAATCAATTAGATAAAAGGTCGGTCATTCGGTTGTCTACGATACGGAGTCGCGTGCCAAAAGGTAGACGCAATTAATGACATAATAGACGATACATGTGCAATAATTAGCATACAAGGCCAAGGGTATAATGGAACCTTGATATTTTCATGTACTTAAGTGGACCAGTAATCAAACTTTCGGAAACAAAAATCCATAGCTAGTAGTCCTAATACATACATATTTACATAGGATTAAACGATGCTATCTGGACCGCACACATGACGAGAAATAGCAGGTTGAAATGGATAACAGAATGGCAACCACGCGATGGAAAAAGGAAAAGAGGAAGACAGAGCAAGAGATGGGCAGACGATATAGATAGAATAGGAGGCACAACTAGGACAAGAAGAGCTAACTTCAGAAAAGAATGGTTTTATTATGTAACTTAAATAAGTGTTAATATATTATACTGGGTGTCAGCAATGAAGGCTTAATAATAATTATAAAAAAAGATGCTATCTGGATTGGTGGTGTCCGTTACCAGTCAAAGATCTCACATAGTTATCGCCACCACCACGCCGTTGTAAAATTCTGATAGTAGGTATACGCTCTAAGAAAAAAAATTCACAGGTAAGGGAAGGGCATATTAATAAAATTATGTAGGAACACTAATGTTTAGATGTCCCAATCAAAACTAAATCAATCAACAAAAGCTAAAACAATAGAAAGCATTAAGAACTTCATGAACCCCAATAATTAAAGTGTACAAAATATATAACGGTCAGAAATACTTTATGCATATTTAACATATTGAATTATTGAGGTTTTAGTTCCTAGTTGACAATTCTTTTATGATTTGAGATCGATTGATGATGATTGATTGGATTCGTGGTGATTGATGAGAACCGAAACAGGCAAACCAGACTTAATAATAATTAATTGAATTATACATTTATTCACTTTGGGAGCTCTTTCCGATTAGCCAGCAGATCAAACGACGCAAGTGGAATTGGATAGGCCTGTCCGAAGTCTTTCCAATCATATCTCCAAGCAGGTGATTGTCTGGAAGCCGCTAAGAGAGCGGAAGCGTGGTACCAAGCACACAGTTGCAGGAGAGGGAATGAAAGCGGGAAAGACTTGGAGCGAGATAAAATACGAGGCTTAAGACCGAACGCCGGACTCATTGTGGACGCCCTTTGCCCCATCCAGGGGCTTAGGACGTTAAATTAAGTCAAGATTTACTTGTTTTTTTTAATTCATAAAATTTCGAATGCTTCACAAAAATACGCTTTGTATTTAAGTATGTAATAATGATAGATATTTTAATGAATTTTAGTAATTTGTTACATTTTATTCATATAACTAAACATAACAATCAAATATATATATTCATTTAAATGAAGTTGAAAAATATTATTTTTAGCAGATTTCAGTGATACAACTACAATTATTGTAGATATTTCAGCTTTAAAATATTTTTCAGAAAATCAGTTGACAGCCGCCCATTTATCGATGTCATGTCGCGTAGGTTGCCTATTGTTAGATACAGGCTCGAATGTCCATCATAAAATAAAAATACACATAACAATTTAACAATATGATATGTTTCGTAACAATAACAATCCAGTGGCATTACAACCCTATAAAGGTATAAGGGTCAAGGCTATGAAGTTTGGACAATAAAACATACCCGCCAGCGCTTAGAAGCAGTTCAGCCCTGCGATTCTGTAACTCACTTTTCGAACTCACACAGCGGTTTTCGCAGCGGCGGTCGCTCTCAAATCAGTCGTGAAGCAGTCATTTTATGATTTGGCATTCTGATAAACAATAAACTACAAGCTCCCTCCTTATCACAATGCCAAATCATAAAATGACTGCTTCACGACTGATTTGAGCGCGACCCCGCTGCGAAAACCGCTGTGAGAGTTCGAAAAGTGAGTTACAGAATCGCAAGGCAGATGTTGCGCTATCGTTGGATGCCTCATATAGGCTGGATCCACAAGGTCTTGTAATAGAAAGTTATAATTTTAAAAAGTTATTTAACTTTTGATAGAAATATTTTCAATATAAATTTTTTTTATTTATTTTTTTTATATTCTTTTTCTATAGTGTGTTGATGGTTCCTTTCTGAATACACTCACTGCGCGATCAAATTCAATATAATATTTTATTGTTAGCCCTTTCGTAATAAATCAATTGTTCTAAGACTCTTAAAATCCTTACTATTTTTGTCATGGAATTGAGGAACAATTTTTTAAATCTATATAATATTTACGTTTATTAAGAAGTTGTAGTAAAAGAAACCACTTAAAACAAACAAAAATTCATTAATCGAAAAGCGTGAGCGATTATAAAAGTTGTTGTGTGATAAGTCATTTCTTTTTTCTATTTACGATATAATTCAGAAATATTTATCTTTTTAAAATATTTATTTAGTTTTCCAGTATCTGTTTTGTGTTTTTTTTCGGATGAAAAATAACCTTTTTGCCTCGTACTACCACCATGTACCAATGCTCAGAACTATTTCCAAAACTATTTGACTTAGGGTCCTGCAAGAAAAGGGCGTACTTATCCTTAAAAGGCCGGCTACGAAGCAGCAACGGAGTACAGCAGCAGGAATGTGTGGCGGCATCACTTAACATTACATTAGTCTCCTGCCAGTTTGTCACCTGTTTTATAAAAAGTTGATCTTTAACAGGTCAGGTCTGATAGGAAGAAAGTCCATTGGTGCACAGCCGGGCATCGAACCTACAACCTCAGGGATGAGAGTCGCACACTGAAGCCCCTAGGCCAACACTGCCCTACAAATATATAGCCATCTTTTAATGTGCACACTATATCGCGCTGTGAATCTATTGCATCACATATTAATTGCAATTATAAAAGCGATTCGTTAAAATAGACAGCGAACGTTGGATATATTGTACGCAATCTGTTTCTATCGAGCCGCGCAACGTGAGGTTTTCCACTCAAACACC